TTTTGGGAATATGACTGATAAAACTGCTCTATACTGACAGAACTCGGATAGCTGCGAGTGGAGGTAAAGAAGGGTATTAAAAGCACTCCTTAGAGGTGCCTCTTAGGGGTGTGCATTTTCTGTCCCTTCTGAGATGCAATGGTGAACTAGGTTTCAACCAACTTTTGCTTTCTTGGAGACAGAATTCGTTGGTCTCAGCTAAGATGCAACCACAGATGTAATCTGTCAAGCTTGAGAAGTCAAAGGCAAGCTTTTGAAAGTCATTTCTATTATTTCATGGTAATATGTGAAGACTTAGTGGAGGAGGGCGGGAAAGGTTGGTTTGTTGTATATATGCAACAAATGAATCCCAGAGGAGCTATCTCAGTAATTCCTGAAATGAAAAATGAGTTATTAAGAGCTCTTATTTGTGTGTCAGTTTGCTGGGATCTGGGAACATGAAAAGACATTAGATTCTGCCCTAATTGCTTGCCAGGAATCAATAACAGCTGAGGATACTTGACTACTGTATAGTGAGGCCTAGACAGATTTTATTTATTTTAAAGCTTATCTGTCATAGATAGTGGTTGAGGGATGTTGCTTCTCCATGTCCTCAACTTCTTCCCTCACAAAAGCTTCTGTTCAATGGTACTTCGAGATAATCATTTACAAGTTGAATTACTGTGCCTGGTGTCGTGCTGAAAATGTTTTTTCCCCAAGACAGTTTGAAGATTTTTTAAAAGAGAGAATTATGCTCAATTGTATTGAATTAACTTAGTGGCTTAAGTGCTGGAAGAGGTTGTATATTTTCTTGGCTGAATTGCATGTAAGTACTGGGAAAAGAAACATGAGTGCTCTGAAAAATCACAAGTTACCTTTCTTTTGCTTCACTTTCCCCATTGCACATATCTTCCTTTCCTCTCTGTCCCTCAACCCCCTTCATCTGCATTTTCTGACACTTGATATTGCCCACTATTGTTCTCACTTCTCACTAAGTTGTGTTTTGTGCTCTTCCCCAACTTGTCTCTCCCAGTTCCCCTCCTTCCCCAAGAACAGCATTTACTCCTCAGTGCTGCTGCCTCTCTGGCTTGGTTCCCTTTCAGTCTGCCTGTCCCTCTCTTTTTCCCTGAATCCCTTCCCTCCTCATCGTTGATGTCTCATACCAGTTGGTAGTCAAAATACTGGCTGCTCTAGATGTCTATTTCAAGGAAGGCAAGCACCTCTTCTTAACTACTTCCTGGAAATGTAAAGAGGTTATATGGAAAATCTCTTCAAGAAGAAAGATTGAAAAAATCTTCCTGTAGTTCTGTAGCATCATTGCCAGGAGGCTATGGAGAGATATTTGCA